ACGAGGAAGTAAATTGCCACGCTATTTCCTGGATGAGCTGCATACTTGGGGCATACATACTCTGGTCCACAAATTATCCCCCCTTTGTCAGAGAGCCATTTATATAAGTTCCCAGTCTTCAGTGAAGTGTATATAAGTTAGGTAAGCGTTCTCGATATATATACAGGGATATTTTCCTCGTTGTTCCAGCGATTGTTTTCCCCTGTGGAAGAGAATGACTATAAGAGTGATTTTTATATACATATATATATATATATATATATATATATATATATATATATATATATATATATATATATATATATATGAAATTGTTCTCTGGATAGTAACATCCTAATTTGCAACATTATTCAATTCAATCATACAAATCTATCAGTCTGTGTATAGTCGTGCAACTGTCAGACATCGATGCTTTGTTGGCCAAATTGTTTAAGGCCTTCGTGTCACGATCCTCTATCACTGTTGCATGCATGCAATATATTTGAATAATTTTTCGAATTAAATTGCCTTCTGCACTGCAATTTCTAATACACGCAGAGAATAACTTATTTTGTAACACAATTCATCATACAAATCTATCAGCATGTTGCATATGTTACATAAAATATTCACAAAGCCTTTCATACGTAGACTCACAAGTCAAAGCAAGCAAGTCTTGGTTTTCACTTGCCAGGATGCCGTTATTAATTTGAATGATCATAGACGGTTACAGTGTCAGCGTATTAAACCGTTGCATGCAACAACTGGTTACAACATAACTTTGATATTTCCTCAACAGTACAACTTTTGTTGTAAGCCAGTTGCATACCACAGTTTTACGCAAAAGTTGTGTGATATAAATATAGGCCTCAATTAATAAACAAAAGTCTGTAGTACAATTTTTTACTGCGGCTGTCAGTTCAACAATAAACCGTTGCCTGACATGACAACAAAAATTCTTATTTGCTGACAGGTAGCTATATACTAAGTCTTCGCTCTGCCCTTGCTTTTACAGTCTATATAAACTATAGACATAGTAAAACACACATGACATTGTTATTGAATATTGAGTATTGTGTCTATTGAGTATTGACTGGTTTTATATATCGGCATCGTGATTTTTAAAGTACAGTACATCGTCAATATATACAACTGTCTCTACTGTATTTTCTTCGAGAAAAGAAAATTCAACCGCAACGCAAAACAACATTGAATTATTAAAGTATACTATGACGTATATAGTTAGTAGCGCTAAATAATTATGATATTACAGCACTGGAGATGCCATGTAGCCTATCACTGTCTCCGTTTCATAGCTGGTCTAAATTGTATTGGTAGCAATAGCTAAATTTTTGCCCTCGAGAAAGAGCAATATTGCTGATGTGACTGCTCTCATATTCCAGGCACGATATTGCATATATTGCACGATGCCGTTTTATAATTCCAGTGATTACAAAACTGTGTCGGGCTACATAAACTGTTCCGTGCATGCAAACAGGTTAGAACTTGCATAAGTTTGATATTTCCTGAACACTACTTACTTAAAGACAGATTTATGCAAAAGTTCTCAAATGCAAAATGGCCTTCAGGAACAACTTTGTATACAATACAATTAACTTTGGCTGTAAAGTTCAAACAATTCTTATCTCCAGGCAGGTATTTCAAGACAGGCTTACCAATATGCCGTGCGGTGCCTTGCCAGAATGAATTACATATACTAAGGTACGTTAACTCAGTGTTTATTCCCGGCGTGATGGTATATATAGGTTTCCTGTTGAAGTAGGACTTGCATGCATGAGTTTGATATATTTTCCTGAACACTACTTACTCATACAAATGTTATATAGTAGACAGATATATTTTGATGATTGCTATTGTCAATACATGTTTAATTTTAGCCAAAATACCAGAACCAAGACTACGGCCCCTATAGCAGCGGATTTGACAGTGGGTTCTGGCTGTTCGGGCGGGCATTTGGCAGTCCGGTATTTCAATGATCGCGGTTGGATACTTGGATTTGACTCATGCAATAATGTAATGCCCTAGACTATTGTGTTATTCAGACGTTAGACACGATCATATATAAAAACAGGTAAACAAAATTAATCGGACACATATTGAAACAAACAACCATATTATTAAGACAAACAACCTGTTATACCGATTTCGCTTAAGAACGATTTTATAAACAGTACAACTCAAGTTGTAAGGAGGTTAAAGGCAATTTACATTAATACCGTGAGGACGAATGCAAAGGCTTTGCAAGAACATACCTTCGATGAAGAGAATTGGACATCAAAGTATTGAGAGATTTTTAGGCGTCATAGGCAAATAGTATTCAGTTTCTTCGTTGCCATTTTCACATAGAATAATTAGCTTGAGTTAGGCAAGTTTTTTAAAGATATAAATGGAAGTTTCTCAGCAGTTTTATACAATACACGAAGCACACACGTGCAATTAAAAGCCGACCGTCGAAACATCCGCTGACCTGTTGTAAACTTCTCAGATTCCAGTGATCTCGATATATATATCTGGAACAATGTGCAAACAGGAAACGATCAACTGAAACACAGGAAGTGGAAACGCGTGCTGGGCGCTCCTGATTGGTCACTCTTAAGTCCGCAGCTGGGCTGCGGACTTAGTTCAGTTGGTCAATCGCTGATTAGTCTATTGCGGGCGCTTGTGAAAATGTACTACTATATACCTATGTGTACATCGTTCAAACAGCTACTATTATCCCATACTATCCAGTATTTGATGTTTTGTTTCGCAATTCGCATGGAATGGCTTTATAAAATTGATATTTGGGATGATTGTGAGCTAATTAATAGTGTATTGCAGCTGTTGTGTCGATTTTATACAGTATCTTCTGGTAAGAATTCATTATAATATATATATTATATTATATTACAGAGCAGTTGTGGTTTTATTAAAAGGGGCTATTTCAATACATTTAACAACCAAAGCCCCCCTGTCGAGGACCGCTGCTTTTGGGTATTTTTATCCTGGAAAAATTACTATTTAGGGACTGTGTTATTTAGGCGGCGGGAGGTGGGGTTTTTGTGTGTGTGTGTGTGTGTGTGTGTGTGTGTGTGTGTGGGGGGGGGGGTGTCATCATTATATAACGTTTTAATTCTGGGGTTTGCCTAGAAAAATATTGACAAGAATATGAGAGAGAGTTGGGTGTGGTAGGGGGGGAAGGGCAAGATTTAACAATTCAAAATGGCCGCTACTAAAATTTCCCAGCACTCCTCTCAGGCATCAAGCCTTGTGCCGTCATTGTGCATGAGGTGCATGTATAGAAATTTGATTGGTCTACCCACATTTAGGCTGCAACTAAATAAAAACAGATTTGTTTTTGTATTTGGATCATGTTTTAAACATAATCCAAAGACTAGAACATTAATATCGGGATGATCGAGCAGTCATGTCATTGCCAAAAACATAGTTTGATTCTTTGTAGCCTTCAAATTGGCAATATTTGCTTCCAATATACATGACCTAGAGAATATTAACCAAATAGCCCCCCCCCCCAAATATGAGTTTATGAACGCTCTCTAACGCCCCTCTCCTTTGGAAATTGAGGTTTTCTACAGGGGACTTGGGCACTAAATGTAATAATGACTGTAATAGCGCCCATTTTGGACAAAGACACTCAAGTTCGAGAGTAAAATCGTGAGGCGAATGGAACACATGAGTTTTTGGAAGTTCGTTTTTCATTTTAAAATCTTCAGACAATAACATTTGCACATTGAACGATGCAGGTTAACCGATACTAAATCAGCACTGCTAACAACAATTGAATGTCTACAAATTAAGGTAACGTATAACAAGCAGTTCAACGTAAAGAAGGTATATCAGTGAAAGCGCGTGCGTAGTCATCGCATCCTAATTCCACTTTTTCTTCCCAACTCAAATTATCTGAGGCATACTTCGTAGATCCCGGGGCTCTAACCAAACTTAAAGACCGTCGCCACGGACAGATTTGTAGATAGCTTGTTTTGTCGTTCGTAGTTCGTAAGCGTTTTCGGATGAATTATAGACAATGTCGACAGGATATACTAATGATTTACAGCTTTCCTTCCAAATGTCTCCTGGCCGAAACGCGTACAAGTTGTTTGAATCGCGTCGTTTTTCCAAATGCATTAAATACACCTCGGTCCGGTCCGCTGAAAATCTCGCAACTTTTGCTACAAAAATCCGAATGTCTTGTGGTGTTGAAATCGGATCTAACAGACAACATATGTCATTTATACGAATGGGAATTTCTACGCTGCTTTCGTCATCCGAAACTTTTGCCTCACCCGAAATACACTCCTCTTCCTCTGAAAAAACACCGTTTGAAATTTTCTCGTGCATAAATTTTCGCCCTAATTTTGTTCGCTCTTCATGGGACCTGTCGTCGTAAATTGTCTTTTGATAGCGTACCGAATGTTTCATTAAAGTCGCCAAACTCTCCCTCAAACTTTCGTCTTTTGATTCGTCAAGCGAATTGAAATAGGTCAAAATTGCATGTCGCAATGCTGTCGTCCCGGCCCTAATCGAAACTTCGCGTTGGAAAATGTCGCTAACGTATTTTGAAAACGGACCGCTAGACGAAAATGCTTCCCCTCTGTAGGATACGAAAAAGTAGTTGTGACTCTTTCCTACAAGCAACGAAATTCGTTTCTTTAAATACAATTTCAAGTAATACGCAAGCATTTCATCGCTATCGATTGTTGAAGTGGCCGCTCCGTACTTATCTGCAGTCTTGTAGTCAGTTTGAAACATAGTGATAGAACCGTTCACGGCGAAATTAATAACGTTCTTTCCGTATGCAGATTGCTTATCGAACTCACCCTGCCGCCCTTCGTCATGTATTTGTAAGGTTCGTAATTCTTTTGATCTGCCAGGCATAACGGTCACGAATAAAGAAATTATCAAAAAATCATGCAGGTGTCTAACCTGTTGAGGGCCTGAACATTCTTCGAACTTGCAACGCAAGCTTTTTAGTGCGTCCAAGATGTTCGCGTGGTAAAACGTGCGCGCTTGTTTCGACATACCTTCTTTACGTTTATGAGACAAGAGTCGGTTCTCTCGCTCCAGTTGACTCTGTAAGCGCCGTAGAAAGATTATCTCTGGCAAAGTACTGTGATCGACACTTGTTTTACCATAATTAAATTTTACAATGCTAATAAGGACACTTATTATTCTACTTAACGTGGAAGGTTTTAACTTCCGATTGTCCTTTAAGAAGGTGATGTACTGTAGAACTAAATCTGTATCGTTGCACAAGCGAAGCGTTAGCTGCTTCTCCGATTTGTGCACATAACGAACGTAATAAAGAAAACAGCGGCATCGTTCGTCCATCTTTTCAATCGTTGAAGTTGCTAATGGCATGCCATCACGATTTGGATTTAATGGTTTTCGGTAAAACTCGATCAAATTTTTTACCTCTGCTTTCAATTCTGGCGACATGTCTTTATCTTGCAATCGATATGCAGACCCCCTCTGCGATAGGCTTCTCTCCGAAACCTGAGTTGTGTCTTCAACATCTAGCAAGCAAGCAAACAATGAACAATTAACGTATGCTGTCAAGCATGCACTGAAAGCGCGAAAGGAATGATATGTCCTCTTCAAGGAAATAACTTACACATCTTAACGTTTCTAGGGATACTGGTGAAGGGGTAGGGAACATACCCCATCATGCTGCCTGTTTCCACCAGGACTGCAGATTAGACTATTGCCTGCTACAAGCTAAATGGAAGTGGCTGTGATGAAAAAACGTAAGTTGCATGCGTGTGTGTGTCCCACCTAAAGGAGCTGTCAATTGCCGTAATTCACAGGGACTGTATATTGTACAATCGACTGTTAATATACGTAATTTACTACATTTTACGCGTGTGCGACATCAAGTAATGAGCCATTTACTTACTCGTATGGGACGGTTGTCGCAATGCAGTTGAATTGTTTGAAGATACCTCGTGCAAAAGATCGTCTGTCTCTTCATTGTGGACTATACGTAGAAAAAAAGAATAAATTCAGTACTGCAGTGAAATAGAGATTCAAGCTATGACTTCATTTCGCATCCACTCTCGAGACGTTTGAGATTCAAGCTATTTAGACAAACTTACCTAATGGAGTTGTCGGTTGCTGTAATTCACGATGACCACCCGAGGTAGCATCTGATAAAAAATGAATAATGTACAATCAATTTCTATACGTACTTTACATTTTACACGTGGCTTCAAATAACAAGTCATTTACTTACGTGTATGCACTCCAGCTGAATTGTTTGAAGATTCCTCGTGCGAACGATGGTCTGTCTCTCCAATGTCGCCTACGGCAGACAAAAAGATTAAGCTGAGTATTGCTGTAAAATGGAGTATCGCAGTACGCACTTGCAATCTGGCATCAGAAATGAAGATTCGAGCTGTTTACTTACCTAAAACTTGCCATACATCTGAGCTAAGATCGTGGGACTTGTCACTTTTGCACGGACTATTTTCCAAATCTAATAAAAAAATAGGTCTTTGTTAAATCCAGTATAGGGCACAGCCGGTGTTTCAATCCAGGTTTCTTTCAAGTCAAACATTTCCAATTGCCAGTGCTCGTTCAAAGGAACTGTGCTGAATGCACCTCCTAGTAGATTGTAATAATTGAAGGAATAGTAAAGTTATTACCTGTGAACGACGGATATTTACGTTTCTTTAGAGGTGGTTCAGAGGTGGCCGCGCACTCGTCCTCAGATGTAGCATCAGAATATTCTGCAACCAGCGAAACAGACTTTGCATCTAATGAAGAATGACAGGAGGTTTGGATACAATTCAACAGGCGAACTGCATTGTAAGTACATATTGGTTGAAACAACCCACACGGAATCGGTGTTCTGAAATTAATTTTCGTAATTTTTACATCGGCAGCGAAAGTTGTAAAATGCGTACCTTTTGCCGGAGTGGACGTTGAGAAACGTTGTTTCGTCTTTAGTTCCTTTCTGTCCTTTAGCTGAAGTAGTTTGGTGAGATCCCTTTCTTCAAGCAAACCAAACGCCCCGGATAAGTTCGGAATTACTAATTTCAGGTAATCTCTTTCTTCAGGATAAGCAGGGACGGACGAAATATTGATATCCTTCATCCAGGATCTCAGCGTACTTTTTGGAATTTTCGGGAAAATAACATCTTTTATTTGCACGAAACAAAAAAATGTTTTATATCCGCGTACTAATGGGGTCAGCTGGTCCATTTTATGACTACAAAGAGAGCAATAAAACAAGTTTCAAAACAGAACAATTTGTCTCAAGGAAGAATTAAAACCCTAACCCTAACCCCAACCCCTAACCCCAAACAAAATGGTGGTGTTCCGGTGTTCCGGTGGTGTTCCGGTGTTCCGGTAGTCAGTGTTTTACTACATGCCGAAACAGAACACTCGTTGTGTATACACAAGCAGCCGGAAGGATCAAATACGCTTTCCAAATTCGTTAAAAGGCACATGGGAATCGAAGCTTTACGTGTTGCAAGGCAGATGTTGTTCGAAGCCAGCAAAGTTTACTTGCAAGTCGAAGTGGATCGTCACAAACGAGTGTCAACACCCAAAGATCTGCACGGCCGGAGACTTGCGAACGTTTTCTTGCGTGAAAAGGACAATGGACTCTACAACTTCGCTGACAAGCTTGCCTTTTCTGGACACACGCTTTCCTTCTACACTACCGGTATTGACATGTCCATAGATAGAGCAATGCGAGATGCAATAGAAAAGAAACGAGGTGTTTTTTCTCTACCCGAAGAAGTATTTACCTACCCCTACCGACCCTGGGACTTGCGCAAGCTGTGGAACGATGTTGACAACGCGCGAAGGTATGCAGAGGTACGACCCATTTTGAACCGACCTAGCGATCCGAAAGTATGGAGTGGCACAGAAAATGATGACGCCGATCACATGGACAGTGAAAGCAGCGACAACTTCTTTTTCAATATCCAGCCCTCCACGCTGTTCTGGGAAAGCCGGTGCTACGCAGCTAAAAGCACAATTCTTGATGCCGGACTTGGTCTATTCATCAAGCCCCATGACAACACAATAGAAGTCAACGACCACCTTTGCCTTTACGCCGAGAATAGCACAAACCTAGAAAAAATCACCGACAGCGGTAGCTCTCGCATATATGCAATGTATGTACCAAGAAAAAGACTATGGTTTGATGCTGATGTTGAGACTGGAAATAACCTAGGGAGGTTTGCCAATCAGCCCGGTGTCTTGGAAGCCTTCACTGAAATTAAACGTCTGTCAAATAAAGACCTGCCTCACTTAACAGCCGGCGATTGGATAAACGTTGAAAAAGTTCTCGATGAACAATGCAACGCGTGCTATGACACAGTCCGTGACCAATTGGTAGTCAAAGCTCGAAAGCAAATGCCGAAAACCCATAAACCTGTGGAAGTGTTCATGAATTATGGAGGACTGAGAGAGTATTGGATACCACTGATCCTACAGCACATGTCTGATGCAAACTTCCCAGCAGAATTGAAGGCCATTGTGCAATGGCTGCAGCAATCGGAACAGTGTAATTGGACAGTCGAACAGCGAAGAGAGTGGTCCCCATCATTGTAAAAGTTATTAAACTTTTTACTCAGGGTGACATGGAGCACTTTCACTTCCAGGGTTTAAATTTAAGCCCTGTCTGTAATACAAAACTCTATCAAACTCAAACACGCTATTACATGACAAAATTTTCAACCCAGGGCTGCTTCAGCTAGCAGGGTTGAAATTTCAACCCTGGGTTGAAAATTTTGTCACCGCCGGGCTTGAAATCGTCCATGTAATCGCAAAAAATTTCAACCCGGATAGCAGGGCTGAGTTCAACCCCCGGGCTGAAAGTGCTCGATGTAATCGGCCCCTAAAAGATACGTATTGTGAAAGAGAACAATCTCACAATTGTAAGGTACTGCATGCAATTAGACATGTTGCAATTTTTGCAACATCAGAAACATAAAATTTGAGAAAGCAAGGTTGCTTTTAAAGTTATGCAAAATACAACTTGTCTTTTGGTTATGACTGCGAATAAATATGTTTATATTGGGCATAGCGTAAGGTTATTGAAAACCAAACAATAATAACATTATTAGTAACAATAACAATATTATTTAGAATTTCAAATTATTGGAAATTGACATTTTTAATAGATGTACACTCGGAATGCATGTTCAATTTAACTTATATTCTTCACCATGTAAATAAGAAATAAAATTCTTTCAAAAACATTCTCTAGTAGTTTGTGTTTATCATTAAATTAAGGGCAAGAACATGCAGTTTGATGCATAGAGAGTTTAACACTCTTGCTCACATATTAAACAGTAGAAGAAATAATAGAGGGTATTTTTGTTCCTGAAACTGGTATTGTTATATTTTTTTGTATCATCAAGTTATCGGTGGTTGTAAATATCAGCCACAAATCTGATGTTTATTGAATGGAACATTAAATTCAAATGCCCCACCCTCTGGCAAAGGTTTGCCTGGGAGGAAAAAATATTTGCATGTTTGCAGGGGAGAAAAAAGTATTTTATTTTCTGGGACTGCAAAGAAAAGTGGGAAAATTTTCTGCGAGTTGTAGACGCAGCAAATCCTGTATAATTGAAATTAATTAAAGGGTCACTTGCAAAGAGGGCTGATATGATTTAAGAATTATTAATTTTAACCCTTAGGGTGCTGAATTAATTCACAGAAAATCTCATTATTTAGTTTCACTGCGGTTTTTAAATTTTTTGAAGGGAATTTGAATACAAATATATATTTATTATATCCCATTTGAAAGCCAAAAATATATGCTTTCTGAATGTTAACACTAGAAGGCATCAAGAGGCTATCCCGGGGGGGGGGGGAGGTGGCCCTGAACAGATTTAGTATGAATGGCCGACAAAGTGTTTTTTATATGTTTCATCCATGCTACCATCACTATAGCTTTCAAATGACACCGTAAATGTAAATAGCATAATTGCCAAAGATATGAGAATTTATTGCCGACAAACCATAATACATACATTACAAATATATACTATGTAGCTTCAGTTTGAATAAACTTATTATGAACTATCTCTGTAAATAGGCAGTCAATAGATGCAACCAATCACCAATGCAGCTTTTGGTTGTATGAACATTGTAAACAACAAGTGAAACTTGAAATTGATTGAATATCCAAGACATATTACCTCTTGAATAGTCTCATTGATAGAAGTCGAGTCTTTGAAGCATAGATCAAGATTTTCCAGTGAAGTGGGTTCAAATTTATCATCGCTTGACTTGTTTATATTCCCGAGGATGAACATTCATTCGAACTAGAATCGTTATTTTTCTTCGTCTAGTACTGAAACAACCTCATTTATTGTAAGCAAACCTCTTTTGGAAGCCATGTTGCAATTAAATAATGGCGAACCGTTGAAAATACTACAGAAAAAACGCTGTAGAATCGCCAATTTTGAAGATATTGTTGTAATTTTTATTTTGTTTTGAAGCAGATGATCACTCGCTTCCATTGACATGCGCAATACGGTGGAGGCAATTTACTTCCGCTGTAGGGGACCCAAGAAAGTTACCGGGTTCCCAGTTAGGGACCCAAGAAAGTTACCCTGTTCGTGCCCTAAGGTTTAATTAAATAACCATAGTACCATATAAAAGCTGTGGCAGTCCTAGAAGATTTTCTTTCATAATGCAACTGAGAAAAGGATTTAATTGAAATAAACTAGTAAGGAAAGACTGTGAATTTGTGTGCTTTCCAAAGTGGTTTTGAATTGTATTAATATTTGCATCATAATTAATAGTATGAAAACAAACATGATTTGAGGTTGGACAAAATGTATTGTAAGTTCTATGTTTTTGTTCACGTTTATGTCCTTGATGGAAATTTATGCACTTTGACAAAATTATCAAAATTCATCTCTTTATGTCTTGAGAAGAGATCTATAAATGCCCAATAAGTTCATTTTCTATTCCTAATGTATTACTCGATACTGACAGTATGTCCTACTGCCCCAAAACATTTTGCATTTGTAAATATTTATACCAACGAATAAGCAATACTTTGTTACTTTTCCTGTTACTACTTACAGAAATAAAAATTGGGAATTGAAATTGAGGGAGGGGAACGATACAGATAGCAAATTTTGGAACCAGGGCAGTGGTATGATACAAAGCCAACAAAGGCGGAACACCCTGCAAATTAGGCTACATTCAACCATCAAAGTTCAAAGTTCACAAAATGGCTACTTATCGGTGCTTGGTTTTATTTTGTTTTGTATTGTTTTATTACTATAACAACATAAGATCTGTCTGGAGGATGCGTTTGAAACTTTCACTCGATGCATATAATATATAGTGACAACACAAAATTCCTTGAAATATCCTTTAAAATGGAAGCCCTGCACCACGTGCTTGAAATGTAAATTTTCAAAGTGGCGGAACCGTTAGAATTCAATGCTCAAATAGTCAGAATGAATTTTTGTTTGTGGGCGCACATCCCCCGGACCGCCTAGAAAGTCTTTGACGCTCGCCACGACTTTACGTTCTCACAGATAACTATGCCAAACGCACCCTACTTATTTATTGTACTCTGTATAAAGCAATAGACCTTAGAGGTGCTTACGTCACACAGTTTTCAATCAATATGAAATGAGGTTAATATTTTCCTACATCTTTCCCACAATGCATTGCAATTCATTGTTTGACACTGCCGTGATGCAAGCACCTCTAAGGTCTATTAATTACAAGTTTCAATTATAAGCTGCAAGGAAACCATTTGAAGATTTGATATGCATTTACAAAGCAATTAATGCTTCAAATTGGCAATAATTTTCAACAAACCATCTGAGTATATCATTAAAATAGAATCTATTCAATTCATACACTGGCAAGTCTAAGTTTAATATAAATGCGTATACCTACAATTTCAGTCTACTTTGATGACAGATCGTAGTAAATAAAGTCCATTGCACATAACTCCAACCCTTTTATTATGACCAAACATATCATAAAATGAAATAACATCCATATTTCATGCTAGAGATCCTTTGCCCAAAAGTTTATCATCAGAACACGTGGGATGAACAGGTGAGAATACGTCTGAGCATGCGTTACAATTCGCGCGGTTATCACAAATGAGAGCTGGGACGAGTAAATTAATTATTTAATTTCCGAGCGGTTTTTTTTTCGGATTTTGGCCTAATTTTCTCTACCAAGCAACATTAGGCAAGGGAATAAAAACCGTTATAAACGTAGAAATTAAATAAAACCAATCACCGCGCTGGCTGACCAAAGTGTTTTTGCAGTAATTATTTATTTTTCTAACGTCGTCAAAAATTGCCTAAAATCGTCTATAAAGTCGCCCATTATATAACAGGACCACACTTCACATTACGAAAAATAATACAGGACATAGCTGCCTTACAGCTATCTAATGCGCTCCAATCTTCGCGAAAGTTGTATTTTATGACGTTAATAATGCAACTAAGATGTGCTGTAATTGTGTTAGGCATTAGTTTTCTAACTTTTGATAGATAATCGACAGAGGAGGTTGGACAGCTAATTAGCGAGTTGTCACGTGAGCTCTCGACCAATGAGATCGCTCTATTTCCATCGTGTTGGCGAAGATTTTTGGCCGTCAAATTCGCATTGGACACAGAAGAACTCAAAAAATATATATAAATATTCAAATTTTTCTATCAAAATGCAACCATGGCCTTAGTGTTATAAAAGGACTGGCGATATGTGCAAGAATTTCTGAGGTAAACGTTATTTTTTAACCTGTTTTCGATGATTAAAGTTGGTCATGCCGTGGCAACGTGATGACTCAAGTCCGAGTCTGTTTACAATTTTCAAACTAAAAAATCTGGAATTCCCACGGTTCGATTTTCGTAATTTTTGAAAAAAAGTTAAGACAAATGTCTAAACTAAAAATCTGCTGGAGGGATCCCCG